TATTTGGTCATCGAAATATCGAAGCCAATCAACTGCTTTAGTGGGGACCCTTGGAAACTCTTTGAGATTTTGATTTCATCTCAGTTGCTTGACATGTTAGTTAAGTCTATTACATTGTCATTTAGTTTGAGAATTATTGAAATCGAGGGAATACGTTGTTCTATTATGTTCAACAACGTGTTATTCAAAAGATGTATGAGAAACCACAAACTTCACCATGCTTTTAAAATATGCGTGTACTGCACGATGTACCCTGCGCGCAGAGTCTATTTATAAAGACGAAGCTCTCTTTTAAGACGTGAAGTCGAACGAATGCAAATGGATGCATAGTGTCAAGGAAGCTTCTAAATTGAATATTAGTTCGTCTCACAAGTTATAGTTATATGACGTCGATATTTGGGGTTTCATGATTTCTACAATACGGTTAGGAGAAACTGTCATATTTTTAAAATGTATCCTAACATGCTGATAAAATGAAAGTATCTTCGTTTTATGAATAAATGTCATAACAATTGTAATTAGCTTCGAACAGTTGTCATATTTTGTGAAACTGGGTAAATGGGCCATATCTATTTAAAATGTAATTAATACTCTTCACACCTCATTTTGTTACACTTCGCACAATTGGAGGTATACGAAGTGGTTTGAAGTTATTCGTTTTCGAATCAATTTTAAGCTTATTGCTGTCGTAATGTTAAATAAAGATGCATCCTACCATAGGTTTCTCGCCCAGACTCAGTGATGTCCCATTATTATTGCTCATATAATATCTCACATACCATGCATGGATATATCTTAAGAATAACTTATGGGTTTATTATTGCCGAAATATTGAAACAATCAACAGAACAACCACACACACAATCGATTCCTCAGCTAGCCAGGGGAATCCCCGTTGAGTCACATAAGCGCCCAGATGCGCCTTGAACCAAGCAGCCAATCAGGTTCATGATAAACAAATTCAAAGACCAATCAGATAACAGGAGGATTTTCCCGGTATATTTAAACTTCAGATTGAATTGATTTCCGTGAAAATAATTACTTCGGTCAGCACAATCACAAAATTAACGCTGAAACGTGGGGTTTGAGACTTCTTCTTTGGTAAGTAGAAGTAGATGGGTGAATATGTGGTGAACTCAATATGCAAAAAGGTCCAACGGGGTCTTGGTTGAGCTATCCTATGGTATAGAGCCTCTTTAAGAAGAATTTAGAAGTTTTAGATTGTATTCAAATGAAAGAGATGAAATTAAATTAAATGCACGTCTGCGTAGCATAGTCGATGTAAGGTTTCTCTGAGGAAGAAAGGCTCATATTATTTCGAAATGTCGAAATAAAGAATTTTACTTGAAATGGGATGTGTTCTGTGGAATAATAGTTGATTTGTAAGAAGATGGGATGCAGTTATAATAGAATAGAATATTTATTGAGTACATTCACACCCCTGAGTGTCAGGTACAAGAAAGTGTAGTACACAAAAAGAATATATATGATTTAACACTAGACTACTATATACTACATATAATATATGCTTAACTGTAAAATGTAAAATATGTGTTACTACAAAATGTTTTTTTGCGCAGCAGGAATTAGTCTTTCTAAATTAAGTATTGCTTTCTAAAATTCGGAAGGCATCACTAATGTATTTTGCAACCTTGATGCAATCTTGATTTATACAAGTTAAGAGGTATATAAATTGATTTGTTTGTGCTTTTGCCGTATCAGATAATTCAGTTTGAAGTAATAATCTTTTATTTTGATATTTTTTACACTTCATCATAAAATGTTCTTCATCATCAATAATATTGCAATGGACACACAGTCTTTCTTCAATTGGGGTTTTCTTTGGTTTTGTATATCTCCCTTGCTCAATTTGGAGGTTGTGAGCACTTATTCTCAAACGTGTAAAGTTTCTTCCCATATCAAGTCTGTCGATTATATTTAATTCAAACATGACCGTGCTCTATTCGAATTTCTCAACCAATCAGAATGCAGCATAGCCAATATAGAACGTTCTCTAATTCTCCATAGATGCACGACCATGCTCTATTCAATCTGCAATTTGCAGTTTTGAGTGACGTCACATCTCAGCTGCACATCTGGGGCTCTGTCCGGGGATAGCATGCGTATTCTTCCTTCATGCCCGTTCCACAGACACGGCTTTTACTAATTTTTATGTTTGAATCGGAATAAATAATGATAGGCCATTCAATATGGTGAAATTCAGCACTCGTTGGACAGAATGTTAGTACAAATGCACTCACCTTCGGTTCGTGCTTTGTACAACATTCTGTCCAACTCGTGCTGAATTTCACCATATTGAATGGCCTATCATTATTTATTCCTTAAATAATGTTCATATTTAAAATCTTTCTTGAGGGTTCTGTAGGTTCGTAGTTTATTGCCGTTATCATTTTTCCTAGTGTCAGTGTTTAATTTATTCTTCCAGTACCTTGATTAGAACATTTTTTGTATCTTTAATGTGATGTAAAAAGTTGAGAATTTGGCCAAATATACCTATAAATAGTGGATATCTTCCAAGTTCCCCATAAACAGCCATATTAGTGGCCTTTCTACCAACTCCAAGTAGGAATTTGGAAAAGGATATGTTTAATTTTTCTGAGGGGAATTTGTTTTGGTTTAAGTATGCTTCTTCTAGGTTTGAACTGAATACTTTGTTAAGACTGAAAGGGGTCCATATTTCAGCCCCATATAGACAAATTGGTTTTATCATTTGATCAAACAGTTTAAGCCAAAGCTGTGGTTTTATATCACTCTGTTGAAGGCATCTTTTAAGTTTAAAAATTGCTTTACTAGCTTTTTCATGTAGGTGTGTTTGAGCTGATATAAAGCTGCCTGGTGCTCGAAATATCACACCAATGTACTTGTATTCTTGTACATACTGAACTTGGAGTCTACCATATGAGAAATAGTCAGTGCAGAGATGCCCCTTTTTTGAATTTAATTATCTTGGTGTTATTTATGTTGATATTAAGTTTCCACCTGTCACAATATTGTCAATATATATAGTTATATATGATATGATTCGTGTGAAACCAGACCAGGAGTTGGCATAAGGCAGGAACAATCCTCTTTTGATGTATTTTACAAAAAGCAAGCATTTGGGTTCAATGATTAAAACTTTAAATACAGAATTGATGGGACCCTTTTATTGATCTGAGTTCGAAAGTCCCCCAGATTGCCAGTCCTATTTTTGTAATTTATATTAATCATGATCAAATTTCTAGACCTTAGTCAATGAGGAATAAAATTACAATTCCAACATAATGGGAAGCCATGATGAAAGGAAGTGTACCATGCGAGGCAAGTCTCTGAGTGCTAAAAATATAGTTCACCATAAAGTTCAAATTGAAAACAAAACACAGACTAGAGATACACCAGGATACAACTGACAATATATTTTTAAACTTAGTATTACTAGTATATGGAAATTGCGAAATTACTTGAATTAATGTTATTTTGCATAATAGAATCCATTGGAATATATTATATCATTGCAATTATTAACACTTACAATCCCTTTGTTTTAACAACAAGTTACTCTCATTGTAAATGTAAAACTATCAAGGATGTACTAGATATGAAACAAAGTGTCAAGAAATAATATGGGGAAATAAACTTTTCATCATAAAAACAAACCAGTTTTCTTTCCTCATTGAATAGAGAGTGAAGTAATAGATTTAAAAGGCTTGATGATGCAAAACTGCCTGCTTAATATTGATTTAATTTATCAGAAACTTGTCAACAAGCAAAATAGGATTTCTGGGTTTCACCCAGTACAAAATGCAGTTAAATCGATAAAAAAATAATATAGACGTACAAACTTCACAATACACAAATATTGAAATATCCCTCAAAGATTTAGATTTAGAGTTGATGATAAAACAATAGATGTAAATCATCAGAAATTTTTCTATACGGACGTTTTAAAGAAAGGCGGAAAATGGAATTGTGAAAGATAAATGGTAAAAGCAATTTTGTTATGTCATAATTATGGTGAACTTACTGATGAAATTAATTGCGAAATCTTTTTTGAGACTAAGACAAAATGTATGTAAGAAACAAAACGTCAAAACTACAAGATAATTAATAGAATTTTACCAAGCAAATGTGAACTGTTTATATTTGGTTAAACACAGATTCGTACTTGAGATATTTGTGGAAAACCAGATTCAATAAAACATCTATTTTTGTTTATGGATTATGGAATATGGAATTTCATTCAAGACAAATCAAAATTAAGAATTACTTATAGAAAATATGTTATAATTGCAGTAGATTTTAAATTTTGTCCAAAATTATTTCGGAAATGAAATAACTATAAGAAAAATGTATTTTACCCCAAACTTAAAAAACATTGCAATTCTATGATTATGTACTTAATGTGACCTAAAAGTGATTGGAACACAATTACGACACCTGGTGTTGATCTATATTTAAAAGTAAAATCATCTAGCTGCAGTAGAAAATAAATAAAACAGATATTTCCAAACTTATCTTTCCTGTATCATTCAAGATATGAGATCAAAAAAAGATCTATGTTTTTGACGTGAAAGATATTAGACAAAACGATAATGTTTAAGGTTTTTGAGAAAGTTTTGAGAAGTTACTTTCTATTTTTGATTCTGATTCTACCTTTTACTCTAAAACATAATTATTTTGTTGAAACATCAAGAATGTTTGACGGATGTGATTGTTCTTTAGTGATTTCAAATGAAGCGCTGTGTAAAGCTGTGGCTAACTTGAACAGAAGAAAAAACGCTTGCACCGGTTGGAAACACAAGTTTCAAATGCTACTAGTAAATCAAATTGATAAAACAAAACGATAAAACCAATGTTTAAACAAAAAAGTACAGAAATGCAAAATAGATATTCAAAAGCAAATGAGATAACGGGTATTATTTGCATGTTACAAATAGCGTGTTTAATTATATTGTAATATTTAAATCAAGTATATTATTCAAATTAAACACTGTACCCACCTGATTATTCCTGAGTATGTTCAGCTTGGATAATCCCGAATGAAATTAATCCTGGTAATGCCGCTATTTTTATGATGTATATCCAATTTGCGATTTATTTACTTAATCTTGCCAGTCACGGAAGCTAACTCCTGAGACAATATCGCAGAAAGAACAGAAGATAAAGCTAAGATGCATTTATACCATATCTGTTAGAGTATTGTTATGGTAAGCAGGCGAAAAGGTCGTTTGACAAGGTTCTAATCTGATTATGTATGTACATGGTAATATTGATATTGTTTACTGTCTATCTTTGTCAATATACATAGTACTGATAGAAATGAATGCATATTATTGGAATAGCCATTATGAAGGTATTAGCCTATCATTATTAAATTGTTAATTGGATATCTAATTAATAATACACTTTTTATATAGGATATCATCTCTAGGAAATTATTTTTATCTGTTATGTTAATCAAAAAATACCAGGTAGATGAAAGGTATTAAGTATGCAATTGACGTAATCGTAATGATTTACATGACTTCAACAAGGCCATATCATCATCTTTGATTAAACGACATATCTATAATATAAGTGAGGAACTACACTAGTTAATGCTTTGAAGTTTTGAATTTTAGTGGTTGATATTATTGTTGATATAGACTAGATGCGAGTAGAAATAATGTTGATTTACGTCATTAAATATTCAAAATCAGTCAAAGTGATATCATATACTCCTCAAAAAAAGTTAAGAATCTCATAGGATTACATGTTAACCCCCATATTTGTTTAACGACTGTTTTCTAAGCGGGGAACAAAAGAAATCCCAATAAAGAAAATAAATCTGTATCTTGATTCTATTCACTATAAAGTCTGCAACGTTTCAATGTTATATCTCCATTACATTGGGTCAAAATTTGATGTCAAAATTGATGAATTTCATGAAATGTAACAAAAATGGCAGATCCCATGTTAAACAAATGGGGAATGGTTGGGTTGCCATAAGTCATATGAGGAACGATCCATCCATCCGATTGCTCTCAAAATTGAGATTGTAAGAGATAATTAAATTTGCTAAATTGTCTACTCGACAAAAATATGATTTAATTGTCCAGGCTTTACAAAAGTTAATGGTTTCAAATTCAATAATTTTTAATGAACCTCTTATGGAAATAACACAGGTGGTTCAGTGAGGTGGTCAAAATTACTTTAACGCTCCGTATCGCTAATTTTAACAATATAAGCGAGACATTTAGCGTGTAAAATGTAAAATCATTCAATTTTCTACTTAGAAAGTATACTTCTCAAAAAAAGTTAAGGACCAGTGGTTTTCCTCATAGGTTTACATGTTAACTCCCATATTTGTTTGAACAACTTTTTTCTTAGCGGGGAACAAAAGAAATCCCAATAAAGTAAATAAATCTGTATCTTGATTCTATTCCCTATAAAGTCCGCAACATTTCAATGTTATATCTCCATTACATTGGGTCAAAATTTGATGTCAAAATTGATGAATTTCATGAAATTTAACAAAAATGGCAGGTCCCATGTTAAACAAATGGGGAATGGTGGCTTAGGGGCAACTCAAATTTTGGGATATCTATTCAGTGAAACATTTGTTGAAAAAACTTTCTGAGTAGAAAATCGAATGATTTTACATTTTACATGCTAAATGTCTAGCTTATATTGGTAAAATTAGCGATATAGAGTAATTTTAACCACCTCACTGACCACCTGTGTTATTTCAATAAGAGGATCCTAAAAGAATTACTACATTTGACACCATTAATTTTTGTAGAACCTGGAAAATTAAATCATATTTTTGTCCAGTGGACAATATAGCAAATTTAATTGTCTCTTAAAATTCTAATTTTGAAAGCAATCGGATGGATGGATCGTTCCTCATATGACTTATGGCAACCCAACCATTCCCCATTTGTTTAACATGGGATCTGCCATTTTTGTTAAATTTCATGACATTCATCAATTTTGACATAAAATTTTGACCCAATGTAATGGAGATATAGCATTGAAATGTTGCGGACTTTATAGGGAATAGAATCAAGATTCAGATTTATTTTCTTTATTTGGGATTTCTTTTGTTCCCCGCTTAGAAAATAGTCGTTCAAACAAATATGGGGGTTAACATGTAAACCTATGAGGAAAACCACTGGTCCTTAACTTTTTTGAGGAGTATATTTTTAATAAATGTTTTGCTGAATAGATATTCCAAAATCTGAGTTGCCCCTAAGCCACCATTCCCCATTTGTTTAACATGGGATCTGCCATTTTTGTTACATTCTTTCTTTTGTGTTCTTTACTGTTACCAAATTCAAATAAATATTTATGCATAAGTGCCATGGGAAAAGCTGTCAAAAGGCGTTCCAAAATAGAGCAGCATAATGAAATATCTAAGACTGCAACCAGTCATAAGGAAAATAGACCCCAAATACCCCAAACTATGATATAACGTGTGAAGACACATTAGAGAGTTTAAGCTTGCAATTTTTTTCACAACCTAAACGTGAACGGAAAATATTTAAGCGATGCATTTGCATGGGCGATCGGTCATAGTATAGGCTCGCGTTTCGATTTTATATGCCAGCTAAACTCCCTAATGTCTAATTCCACCTTTGAAAGTTACCATTGGAAGTAGTTCCAGGTTAATCTAACAAGTTATAGACATACCGTACAAAATGATGCTTTTTAAATAGCTATTTCATGCTACATCAATTCCAGTCAATCGGAACACTTAAAAAAATAATCATTCTTCATTTTATAACATAACATTATAACTTTTTTTAGAATTGGTGAAATTTGCAAAATGTTCCTCATTTGATCGAATTTTATGAAAGTGATACTGTACAAAATCTTTTGCACTGTGGGAAAACATTTAATTACACGACTCAATGAATTGTGAGTGATTTAATAAAATCATCTGTATCAAATGTAGCCTTGCCTTTAAATGTGTGCTACCACCCTCATTCAAAGTCATGATACATTTAGCACTCGTGCATGACATCATCCACAATTCATTGATCCATGAGCTTAAAACGGTCTACATTTAACAGAAATGTCAGTTACTAGTAAAGCGTCTGGCACATTTTCGGTTCCTCTTAACTTTGGGGAGATCATGGCTATGCATGATGTCAAACCTATTTGTACTGAGTTACCTTTATTAATTGCTATTCGGGATGCTTCGATGCCTATAAAAGTGCATTCATCTGAGTAGTAACGTCATCCCAAGAATCCGTTTAATATTGAATGCTCTTCGGAATAAATACAAATAAAGCAGAGATGATTTATGCTTTCTGAATATCAGTTGTCTCTTAGATTGTTCTATTGTAACCTAATCAAAGATGACCTATCACTGGCAGTTAAAGGAATATTTTCTATGCTCATTGATTTTTCTAGCGCACTTGTCATTTTAAATATATCTAATAGTTTGTTCATCCGATATTGTTATTGTACTATTTTACAACTATAATTACAACCTTTATATCAGTTCCATAAAACCTAGAATCTTGGGAAGATAAATCATATTAATAGAAAACTTAATTTCAAATTTATGAGGAAAAGAAATAAATTCATCATTTTCTATTTCATTTATTTTACAAGTGTCAAATACGTTTAGAAAAGGCTAGCCCGGTTCTGGCTGACAAGACACATTTTAACTTCAATATAGAATAGAGTAACCGTTGTATTTAAAAAATGAATGATTACGACCTCAATTGCCGTTTTATATATGTGATATTGGGTCTACAGGGTGTCAAATAAGTCTCGTCCCCCTACTACACCTCAAACCTTAATAGACGGTACATTTTGTGATATACCATTGGAAAGATCATCCAAAGTTATGTTAACTCACCAACGCTCAAGTATTTTGGATGAAATTTACCTATATCCAGAAATTGGTTAAATTCATTCTCATATATTTAGTCATCTTTTGGTCCTTTGACCTTTCTTATACCCGATTCTTAAAATCCTGCCAAATACTCCAAATTGCCATGTTTCTAGGCCTATAGTCATCTCAATTGATAAAATGTAAAAATGAGTATTTGTGTAAATAAGCCTCAATTACATTTTGCACTACGGCGAGCGCACGGCGTCAGCAGTTTTCAAAAATCAGAAAAACGACAGCCGTTGAAAATCTAAATGTCATTATTTATTAATCTCAAGAGTGTTAGGTAACAGGTCTATCTAGGCCTACGGCGTGCGTCTACGCGGTAGCTAGGCGTCGTCGTCAGTACAAAAAAGCAACAACAAATTGCAGCCGTTCAGATGCATGTATGTCTTCCTTTTAATTTTATAGAAAATGCAGATCCATAATGTCATTTTTTATTAATCTCAAGAGTGTTAGGTAACAGGTCTATCTAGGCCTACGGCGTGCGTCTACGCGGTAGCTAGGCGTCGTCGTCAGTATAAAAAACAACAACAAAACAATGAATGTTTGTAAAATATAGTCATTTTTTATAATTGCGTTACAATTAGGTGCTAGGCCAATTTTGGTCGGCGACGTGCGTCTACGCGGTAGCTAGGCGTCGTCGTCAGTCAAAAACAGCAATATTGTTTGTTTGTAAATAGTGATTATTTTCAATTTAACATTTACATAATTTGTATACATGTATCTCCTTTATATAAAGGGCAATAAATATATACATACATACACACACTTGATTATTGCAACTTCTAGCTTAGGAATGTCAAAAATATTCAGAAAATTGAGTAAAAAAGAGGTGGAGTATGTGCTAAGAAAACAGAATTTGCGATTACTCTTACTGCACGTTTTTGTAACAAAAACAATTTATTCAAAAATGCCAAACAGATGAAAGGTATTAGTATGCAATTGACGTAATCGTTATCATTACATGATTTCAACAAGGCCATATCATCATATATATAATGACATGTCTATAATATACTCCTCAAAAAAAGTTAAGGACCAGTGGTTTTCCTCATAGGTTTACATGTTAACCCCCATATTTGTTTGAACAACTATTTTCTAAGCCTGGAACAAAAGAAATCCCAATAAAGAAAATAAATCTGTATCTTGATTCTATTCCCTATTCCTTATGAAGTCCGCAACATTTCAATGTTATATCTCCATTATATTGGGTAAAAAATTGATGTCAAAATTGATTAATTTCTTGAAATTTAACAAAAATGGCAGATCCGTTCAAACAAATATGGGGGTTAACATGTAAACCTATGAGGAAAACCACTGGTCCACTAGTAAATGGTTCGAAGTGTCGAATCTTAGTTTTTGATATTATTGTTGAAATAGACTAGATGCGAGTAGAAATAATGTTGAT